ACGTAAATAAGCAGTCCATAAACGAGCTGTATTTACTGTATGGAACTCTGTCCACACTGAATCACTGAGGAGCCAAGACTGAGAATGGCTTCCTCGGCTGGGATTTGCTGATTTGTTTCAGCGCCGTTTCCTACGTGGCTTTGGCTCCCAACTTTGGCTGTCAGCGGAGATTTACATACACCTTTGCACTATTTCCTACCTGTTTTTACTTTTGATTTGAAAATGATATTGAAGGTAAAGGAGAGCTCTTTACATCTTTTTGGTGGAAGTTGGGAAGTTTAAAACCAATTTAGGCCACTGCATATGTAAACTCCTTTCCCCAACTTTAATGAATTCCTTTGGAAAATGTTTTTAACCTCTAAAGGAAAACCTCAACTCTAGCAGTTAGTTTTTAGAACTTAAAAAAAAACATGGGACCACAATTTGCTGCCTTTCTGAGCTGGTGATTCCATGGAAAAGGAGATGAGCCATGGAAAAGGAGATGAGGATTGGCAGCTTTTCCCCCCCACAAAAGCCTTAAATTAGAGTTGACCCTTAAACAATACGAGTTTGAATTGCATGGATCCACTTATATAGGAATTTTTTTCAATGAATATTCAGTCGGCCTTCTGTATCCCTGGGTTTCTCATCCATGAATTCAACTAACTATGATTGGAAACAGTTTTGCAGTTGGGAATCCACAGATACCAAGGGCCGACTGTGCATCGTTCTACACCATTGTATATAAGGGACATGAATGCCCGCAGATTTTGGCATCTAGGGGGATCCTGGAACCACTCCCCTAAGGATACCTAGGGATAGCTGCAGTGACGTTTCTGGGGAGTCAAAAGTTATATATGAGGGGAAAAAAACAAGTTATATGTGGCTTGGTTGGTTTTGTCCTGTGCACCAAAAGGTTGCCGGTTCAATTCCCTGTCAGGCCACAAGCCCGGGTTGCAGATTTGATTCCCTGGTGGGGGCATACAGGAGGCAGCCAATCAGTGTTTCTCTTTCTACCTTTCCCTCTCTAAAAATCAGTAAACTATTCTTTAAAAAAAAAGTTCTATATGGATTTTTCAACTGTGTGGGGATAGGCACCCCTAAATCCCACGTTCCTGTAATGAGTATTTGGAATGTGTCATGCTCAAGGACAAAAATGAGCCTTGCCTAGTCCCTCTATATTTCTTGGCTTCAGAATTTGGCTTGGGCCTTTGAAATCTTTCTAACAAATAAAGGGTTCTCCTGTTGCAAAACTGATTGTAGTAATCCTTGTAGTAAATACCTAGCTGTGGAAATTCTTATCTCCCCCTTTGCCCCTCAAGAATCGTGATAGTAATGGGGTCACTGACAGTTATTGGGAAAACTAAGGGCAGGCACTGTGGTGAGAGCTTTTCCTGATTTCTCATGTTTAACAATCCTATGAGCTAGGTATTTTCTGCAGGTGAGAATACTGAGGCATGGAGGC